TTTTCCAGGTGGTGTGGCAGCCCATGGAATGGGGTTATTGGTTTTCCAGGTGGTGTGGCAGCCCCCGGATCAGGTTTTTGCTTTTCCAGGTGGTGTGGCAGCCCCTGGAGCAGGGTGTTTGGTTTTCCAGGTGGTGTGGCAGGCCATGGAGCAGGGATTCATCCGGCAGTACCAAGAGTTTGAGGAGCTCATCCAACGCTGCTATGCAGGAGCAGGGATTGCCCTGGACTTCACCATGGAGGACTTGTTGAGCTACTTCAACTCCATCACCATGGCCAACATGTAGGGAAATCCCTCTCTGGATGTCAGGAGCAGCTCAGGAATCCTTGTCTGCAGCCACACCTCCGAGGAGCTGAACACAAAACCATTCCCAAGTTGGATACTGGGGTTCCTACTCTGAACTCAATCCCAATCTCCAACCTGTTGATCCTAGACTAAATCTCTCTTGGGGAAGTGGAGTTGTCAGACCCAAACCACAACTTCCCTCCTCCAGGAAATCATTTTGCCACCAGGAAATGACATTCCAAGCCTCAGATTTCCCCCTAAGTGCACGTTGGTGCCGCAAATCCCCAGCAAAACATTCACAGTGGAAAAATGTCTTCTCTCCAGGGACTTTCTCCTTTTCTGTGCTCGAATTTCAGTGAGCCTGTGCTAAACCAGAGGTTAAACCACATGGAAACACTCTGAGTGAGAGGTGTTCCCACATCCAGGTATCCCAACAGGCAGCGCTGCTCCTCGGCTCTGCACTGAAAGTCATCCAGCAGATGAAAGTCCAGAGCTGTAAATATTAATGGATTTATTGCTTTTAGCTCAGATTTACTCACATCTTAAGTGGAGTGGAGAAATGTGCGGTTCTAGAGATCCAAACTGATCCTGCAGGGAATTGCCTGCTTTTAACCCATTTTTGTAGGAATCTCCCTACAGCAACTCACCAATATATTGTCATTCTGCAAATGTTGTCTCTGTTTCTTGGGGTGATCATGGGGGTCACATGTTGTCTGTCACAACCTTCTTCCTAAACAACTGAAGAGTTTGAACTCCTTGATATTTGCCCCACAGGACAAAGATTATTTTAGTTATTTTGCGTGTTAGAAAATGATCTTGGAGGCAAGATTCCCTGTACATTGCCAGGGAGGTGGGAGGCTGCTGTGGCTGCTTGGACAGCCCCTCTTCTCCAGGGATATCCTGGATTCTTCAGTGGGACCTTTAAGCCAGCACATAAACCCAACTTTCCCTTGTAAAGGGAAAAATCTAGATAATTTTTGCGGGATTTTTCAAGCAGTTGGCCTTTGGGTCAAGGTCCACCTCTGCAGGGAGCAATGTTTAGAGCTCCTGTTTCCAACCTCACCATTCCCTCCCTTTGTCCCGTGACGTGGCTGCTCCCAGCAGGAAGAGGACGGTCACAGGAAACCATTCAGCGCTGCCTTCCCAGCTCCTCGTCCCTCTGCAGGTAACAGGAACTTTGCAGCCCCGTTTCCTTCCAGGTTCTGCCTCAGGGGCTCCCCTGGGAGGGGAGGGCAGGAGTGGGGGCTGTAGGCTGGGACATGGAGGTGCTGCAATTTGGGAGCACCTGAGAGGACTCCTGGGGTGAAGGGAATTGCAGAGGGGTTGAGCCAGGTGGCTCCGAGGTTGCTGAGCACCAAACACAGCCAGGAGGGGCAGGGATCCCTCTGGCTCTGGTGGTGGCTCCCCCATAACCAGCACAGTCACTGGACACAGCCCATGGGAGGGGATAATGGGATCTTGCTCCAAACAGGGTCCTCTGACATCCCAGTGAAACTGCACCTGGCTTTACACTGACCCTGCTCCCGTGCCAGTGGGGCTGGGGGATCTCCCCTCACCAACCACTTCCCATGCAGAATCATGGAATCATTTAGGCTGGAAGAGCCCTCTGAGGTCATTGAGTCCAACCATTCCCCCTGGCCCGCCAACACCCTAACCCATGTCCCTGAAAGCCAAGGGCAGTTCCAGAGGGTCTGAACCCAGCCTAAGCCACCAGGAACCTGTGCCCCCAGCCTGGTGAGTCCCCACACCCTGGTGCTGTGTCACCCTGAGCCCCTGGCCTCACCCTCTGCCTGGGGGTGGCATCTGGCAGCTCAAAGGACAAGAAGCCTTCCCAGATGTTTCCTGCTGCTGTGCCAGGCCCCAGCTTGTCTCCAGTCTCTGGCTTGGCTCCACCTGGATGAGTGTCCACACCTGGGAGGACCCCAGAGGGGGCTGGAGGAAGGATCACACACCTTGGTGCACACGGGGTTTGTGTGTTGGAGCTTGGCATCTCGGTGACATCAGCCCTCGGCGATGTCACCCAGCTGGTCCCCACACCTGGCACAGCCAGGGGCTCTGGCAGGCTCGAATGCCACCAGATGCAGATCAGAGTCCGAGGCTCTTGCAGGGACGAGGATTTATTGCTTCTGTACTTCTGCCACCTGCAGGACAGAGGAGAACCTGGGCGATCCCTCTCAGCCCTCAGCTCCCTGGACCATTTTCCATTTCCCTGCACAGCTGGGTGCTCCTAACTTCCATATTCTCTGGTTTCCTGTGCCAGTTCCCAGCCCTGAGAGCATGGCTTGGAAGGAAGGGGGCACAAGCCCACCCTCGTGTTTCATCCAGCGCCTGGACCACCTTGTGCTGACTGTGAAGAGCATCGAGGACACTGTGGCCTTTTATTCCAAAGTCCTGGGCATGGAGGTGGTGACGTTCAAGGTAACCCTGACCTGAGGTAGCAGGACCCCACCAGGCCCCCAGGGTGAAATGAGTGCTGAGGGTGTAGGGGTATGTGATATATATTGTATAATTGGTTTTATCAACTGGTGGGATGTCACTGGGGCCAAGTACGAAAAGTCACACTCGATAATGTTAACAAAATTACAAATACAAAAATTAGAATTATTTCTACTAGACAAAATAACATCATTGCTATCAGCAATTACAGCAGCACAGGCGGTTCTCAGGCACACACACACCCTTTTCCAGTATATATGAGCACAGTTTTCTGGTCAGTGTCTGGATGAACTTCGCAGTGGCAAATACTTTGTTCAGTGTCTAGACACACATCTTGGGCATTAATAGTATTGCTTTCACAAAGGGTGCAATGGTGGGGGGCCTGGTGGGGTTCTGCTAACTCAGGTCAGAGTTTCACAATGGATGCTGAAGGAATCCAGCCCAGGAGGTCTCCCTGACTCTGCCTTTTCCTCTGGGAGCAGGGCAACCGCAAAGCTTTGCGCTTTGGCCAGCAGAAGTTCAACCTGCACCAGGCTGGGCAGGAGTTTGAGCCCAAGGCTCGGCGCCCCGTGCCCGGCTCTGCAGATTTCTGCCTGATCACAACAGAGCCCCTGGAGCGGCTGCTGGAGCATCTGCAGGTGAGGCAGGCCCAGAGTGCCCCCAGGGCAATGTCACCCCAGGAGACACAAATCCAGGGCCTCTGAGTGACCCTTTCCTGGGAATGTTGGTGTTGTCTCATCCAACAGTTCATGTCAAGGCTGGGGGAGGAGGGCACAGTGATGATATGACCATCAAACCCCTGCTCTCCTGTGTCCTCCAGGCCTGTGGGGTGGCCATTGAAGAAGGTCCCGTGGCCAGAACTGGTGCTATGGGTCCAATAACCTCCATCTACTTCCGAGACCCCGACGAGAACCTGGTTGAGGTTTCCAGGTACTGCACGGATGTGGCTGCAGGCACTGAGGGGCAGCCCTGACCACGGCCCATGCTCTGCCTGGGTCCCAGCAGGGTTTGCCTGGCCCATTTAATGGTCCAGGCTTTAATTGTGTAAACCTGGGACAAGCCTCAAATCATAGCCACAAAGTGGGGCTGCAAGGATGTTGGGAGATTTCCCAAGGCAGCCTGCTCTGCTCTGCTCTGCTCTGCTCTGAGTGTGAATCCTGCTTTTATACATCTCCATCATGGAGATTTCCTGGCCTTCTTGGAAGATCTGTCCTGCTGCTGCTGCACTGCAATTGCTGGGACATCTTCCCTAATTCCTGCTTTCCCTTTTGCTACACTGCCCACCTGTCACTCCTCTCCTCTCCAGAGTCACTTTTCCACAGTTGGAAATTTCTGCATCCCTTCCTCTCATCCTCCTGCTTCTTGTTGCACGCTGCCTGGTGCTGGTGGGTCTCCCACCACGGTAGAGGTTTAGATCCAGCTGTGGTTGTCCAAACACATTCCTCTCCTGGGATTTGGGAATTCGGCCTCGGTGTGACACTCAAACACTCCTGAAACTGAAGACCCAAGTTTCATCCTCAGCTCTGTATCAATAATTGTGGGGTTTCTGTCACTCAAGAATGGAAAAAGCAGGGATGAGGAGCCTACATGAAGGGCAAAGTGTCAGAAGTCCAGGAGTTCACCTGGATTTATGCAGAGATTGAGGATGGTCTGACGCAGAGGAGTCTGACTCTGATGGCTCCTGGTTACTTGTGGGACTGTCCTGAGTTTTCTTCTTCCTTTAGTTATTTAAAAAGCCATTTCAAAGTTATCTAAAAAGTATAAAACAATGAAGGACCTGGGGATTCTCAAGCAGAGCAGTTCCGAGGCTGGCCACACTGAGGTAGCATCGATATCCTCACGGGAACAGCGCTGGAAAGGAGGGAGGACTCTTCTGACCGCTACAGTGCAAATCCTCTATAAAATTGAAACAATCTCTGAATCGTAGTCATTTTTCCTTTGCTGGAATTTCGTGGGAAATCCATAATTCTTCATGGTGCGAAAAAGGGCAAGGTCACAAAATATTCAGTGCTTTGGATGATCAGCAGGGTTGAGTCCTTTGTGGGAACTAAAGACAGGAATGCCATGGGAGAAAGCCACGGGCATCTCCTCAGTTGGAGATCCAGGAAGGGATGCCAAGAAGGGATCCCAGGGAGCGGAGTCTCCTCGCCCCGGCGCCCGCGGAGCATCCGGAGGTGCTCTCCAGGGTGCTGATGTGCCCCGGCCTGTCCGGATTCGGAGGGACCCCTCGGGGCGTCCTGCCCACGGGAGAGGATCAGAGCCCATGGGAAAGGGCAGAGCCCATGGGGGAGAGTTAATCCCCATGGAACAGGATTGGTTCCCACGGAAGAAGGTCAATTCCTACAGGAGAGGGTGAAAGCCCATGGGAGAGGGTGAAAGCCCATGGAAGGGGATCCAAGCCCATGGGAGAGGGTCAAAGCCCATGAGAAAGGGTGAAAGCCCATGGGAGAGGGTCAAAGCCCATGGGAGAGGGTCAAAAAGCCCATGGGGGAGGGTCGGTACCCATGGGAGAGGGTCAAAGCCCATTGAGGAGGGTTAATCCCCATGGAACAGGATTGGTTCGCACAGAAGAAAGTCAATGCCTACAGGAGAGGTCAAAGCCCATGGGAGAGGGTTAATCTCTGCAGGACAGGGCCAAAGCCATGGGAAGGGGTTAATCCCCATGGAATAGGGTTGGTTCCCGCAGGAGAGGGTGAAAGCCCATGGGAGGGGATCCAAGCCCATGGGAGGGAGTCAAAGCCCATGGGAGGAGGTGAAAGCCCATGGGAGAGGGTCAAAGACCATGCGAGGGGGTCAAAGCCCATGGGAGAGGGTCAAAGCCCATGGGGGAAGGTCAAAGCCCATGGGGGAAGGTCAAAGCCAATGGAAGGGAGTCAAAGTCCATGGAAGGGAGTCAAAGTCCATGGGAGGGAGTCAAAGTCCATGGGAGGGAGTCAAAGCCCATGGGAGAGAATTTTGTTCCCTCCACTGAAGCCCATCTTGGTTCTGTCCCACACATCAATCCCTTTAAGGCCTGGCAGACCTGCCTGGTTTCGGGGCTTTCCCGTTCACCACAGGGTGAAACATGGAATGACACTTTTGGGGATCTCATACCTGACCCAAACCATGGGAAACTCAAAACTTGTTATGGAAATTTATCAAGTATTTGGAATGTGCTGCTGATGGAGGAACTTCTCTTGGAGTGATGGTGTTGGAGCACTGGAGGCTTTGCTGGCTGATGGTTGTGGTTGTCTCTGGGAGAAAGAACCTGTGGGGCTGAGGTTTTTACCTGGAGGAACAACTGGCCACAGGCCAGCATTGCAGTTGTCCCTGTCCCAACCTCTGCTGGGCTCCCCATCTGTTGGAAAAGCCTCTGTATTGTGAGTATTCCAAATAAAACTGATTGTTTACACAACACAGCATTAAATCTTTATGGAGAAAATTTAATTCCATTCTTTATTCAGCAAGATTCATTGTGAATATTGGACAGTGGAAAGAGTGGGTGAACAGAGGTGGGAAAACAGTTTTCTTCTGGATGGTTCATTCCCTGCACAAACCATGACCAGCAAGAGAAAAGGATCTTCCTTCTTGTCTGCTCCCATCTCATCCCTCTTGAATACTGATTCCCACAGGAGATTCCACAATTTTATCACAATCACATTGGAAAGGAGCTCTTTGGATCAGCAACCCCAGTGTTTAATGTTGAGAAGTGTTGAGTTCTCCATCTCTCTACTCAGGGAGGGCACGGGGTAAGGAGCCTTTCAGGGCTTTCTGCTTAGGAGCACAGATTCCAGATTTCATCCATTTTCATGGAAAGATGAGTTAAGAGCCAAATCCCAATGAGCTTCCCCTCCTCTCACAGGAGGGAAACAGGAATTTCCCAATGGGAGTCACAGTGTATGTGCCCAAGTCACTTCCCAAAGAAGCCCATGGGCCACCTGGTGGGCCAGCTCAGAACAGGTGCCTGGGAAAACCTGGGAAAGCCAAGAGGGGTGGTGTGGGACAGCCCTCGGATGGGCAGGGATCACCCTCAGGGTGTAGAACTGATGTAGGACTCCTCACCTCTCTCCCCTTCAGAAAAGACACCCAGGTCTCAAGGGTCCTCAAACCATCCTTTGTACACAGAGAAGTGGCAAACACTGCCCATGGGTTGGAGAAATGGGAGCCTTTCACTGGGAAGGAAACTCTCTGCTGGAGAGTTCTGCAGGCAGGGCTGTTTGCAGCAATGATGGATTTCTCCTGTGCCTGTGGGACTGCCTGACCCTGATCCCAAAAGTGCCCAGAAGAGCACTGAGAAAAGCACAGGTTCTGCAGCTGAACTTCCTCCTCCTTCCAGACTGGGCAGTCAGGCATTCTGCACAGAAAAAGTTCGGAATCCAGCTGTAAGAAATGCACAGGCACCGTTCCTTCTGGAGAACTGGATGATACTCCAGGATTCTCAGAGATTTCCATGGGAATTTTTTTATACTTATGGTGGCCTTTCAGCTCCTCAGCCAGCACCAATGAGGAGTTGAAGTTTACTCCATGTGTTAACCCAGACACCTCCTGCCTCATGGGTTCCTTTGGAATTATCTAGTAGAAGGGGTGGGAACTTGCCTGTCCTTGGGAATCAGTAGGAAAGCACCAATGAAGAAAGGAATCGCAGCTTCACCAGGACAAGCCCCTCACCAAGCCCCCATGCTGTCCCCTCACAGACTGCAGGCCAGCTGGGAGCTGTCTGACAGGTTCTCCAGGTTGTCCACCAGAGTGATGATGGCTTCTATTTTTTCTTCTGGAAGCACGTGGGAGGCATTGGATCGAAACTTCTTCAGGAGCGACTCTTTGCTCAGGGGCTTCCTCCAGTGCCCATAGAAAGTGTCACATTTGCCCGTCAGGACGTCCCCGGTGTGCAGGAGCAGGGCCACCTCTCCATACATCTTGTCAAAGTTGGCCACGTTGTCTTCAGGGTGCTCCACCACCACCTTGTCCAGCAGCTCCCTGAGCTCCTGCCGGTGGATGCTGCTCTCGGAGAAGGACCCCAGGCCCACCTCGCCGTCCAGCAGGGCAGCACAGGCGTTGAACTGGAAGGAGTGCCTGGCCTGGTGCTCCGAGCTGGGGAAAGGCCGGTTGATGTACTTGGACACCGGGATCTTCAGCATAATGGTGCGGATCAGGGACGGCGAGAAGGAGCCCGCGTAGTTGATGAAGAGGTTTCGGACGGACAAGGCAGCATCCACCACCCAGTGCATGCCCAGGTGGGCTGGGAATCGCTTGAAGGCAATGTCCTGCTTCTCCAGCAGGAACTCGTGGTGCTCGCCGGGTGCCGACAGCGGCTTGGGCTGGTAGACGCTGTAGAAGGCGCTGAAGCCCGAGCAGCCTGGGATGTCATCCAGGATCAGGGGGTTGGCCTCCATGCCTCGGCCCGCCAGCAGAGCGGCCTCCAGGCCCAGGCGGGTGGCATTGCCCACGTGCAGAGGCTTGGCCTGGGTGGCGGCGTTGGCCATGGGCGCCCCGGCCAGCGAGGCGGCGATGCCCAGGGCGTGGCAGCACTGCGCCGAGCTCAGGGACAGCAGCTTGGCCGTGGCCGCGGCACTGCCCAGCGTGCCCACCACCGAGGGAGGGTGGAACCTGCAGGGGGACGGCAGGAATGAGCAGCCCTGGCTGCCTGGCACAGGGAACACCACAGGAGCCTTCCCACGGAAAAATGAATGGGAAGTGAGGGGCCCATCAGCCAGCAGAACTCCCTCATGGCTTCATGGAATTCACCTAACTCAGAATTAAACCATAAATTTTGGCTAATAAATTAACTTTTAAAATCAGAGTTTTACTGTATTTTAGCTTAACTCTAAATTTAGAGTTAATGAACATAAATTTAGTCTAAAAATGGAGTTTCTCCTTGAAATCTCCTCAGAAACCCCAGGGTGAGCTCAGCATCTCCAAAGAGCAATTGGAACTTTCTCCAGCAGGTGCCATGGTTTGTGTCCACACAGCCAAACTTTCTATCCCTCAGACAAATCATTCAGCCTCAACCACACCCAAGGGAACAGTTCCTGGTTGATTCCATTGCTTGGATCACACCAGGGCACTGCTGGAAACGGAAGCTGGCCATGGGGCTGTACCCACCACCAAACTGCTTGGCTCTGGGATCCTGCCCTGGCTGAGTCAGGTGATGGCACTGCAGACTCCCAGGGAGTCCTCCTGAGGGTTATTTTTGAGGCAAAATCTTTGGAAATTA